AAAGAAAGAATAAGGGACCCACAGTAAAGAAGAGGCAGTTGAAATGAAGAAGAGGGAATAGATTTTAGAACTATGAAAACACGGAGACTTCTCAAAAGCTGGTTGTCAGTTGATGTGAGGGGTTCAGAAGAAAGAGGAATAAAGGATGTCTCTATGATTTTTGATTCATTGACTGGTGAGTGGTAACTTTATTCACCGAGCTTGGGAATATTGCCAGAAGAACCACTTTAGTAGTAAGATAGTGAATGTGTTTCTGGACATGTCCTGAGGTTCTTGTGGGTCACAAAAGTGGCGATAACCGGTAGCATTTGCACAGTTTCTTTTTACATGAAGGAAAAACATGTAATGTATACCCTGGGCCTCTCCAAGAACACAGATTTTAGAGGTTCTCTGTTTTTGACCTTTTCATCTTGTCCGTTGGCAACATTTGTGCTTCAAGAAAGTACCAAAGCCTTTAATTATTTATTGAGGATTTCAGGGGAAAAAAAAGTTCATTTTCTTAACCCTTTTATTTCCATTTTTAGCTACCACTTTTTCTTTCCTTTTTTTTTTTCCTCTTAAAAATAAAACGAAGCTAATGTGATCACTTTCCCAAAGTTCTCTTTTTCTTAGTAAAATTCTCGGGGCTTCTTTTCAGTTTGTAACTCCATCCCCAAGTACTTGATGAAGAGGTAGGTCAGCTTTGAGGGACATTGGCTGTAAAACCTGAGTCTGGCAGATTCTTATTGCCTTTGGCCAGGAGGTGTCTCTCTTACATTTAAGTTAGGGGAGAGAAAGGGGAGGAAAGAAGATGGTCTGGGGAAATAAACTGCAGTAAAGTGCCCCAAACCCTTCAGGTCCCGCTGAAGTGGGACATTAACTGGGCTCTTTTAGAAAGACAAGGGAAAAGATTCAGAGCTGCAGAGTTGTGGCATTTTTGCAACTTACACGTTTCCATTGGAGGAGGGATTTATTTTTATTTTTTTAAATTTTTTAAAAGATTTTATTTATTTATTTGACAGAGAGAGACACAGTGAGAGAGAGGGAACACAAGCAGGGGGAGTGGAAGAGGCAGGCTTCCCGCTGAGCAGGGAGCCCAATGCGGGGCTCGATCCCAGGACCCTGGGATCATGACCTGAGCTGAAGGCAGACGCTTAACAACTGAGCCACCCAGGTGCCCCTGGAGGAGGGATTTTTAAAAAAAAAAAAGATAAATAGTAAGTGCTCCTCTGGATTTTGGGTATTTCACAGTCAACCAATTTGGTAATGAAATGCCACTGTCAGAGAGGCAAATTGATCACGGTGATGTTTGCATAGCTCAGTGAAGTTACAAAAGATCATTGATTGTATTCTTAAAATTGGTGAATTTCATGGTATGTAAATCATACCTTAAAACATTATTAGAAGATAATTAAGATCTGCCTTTGACTATAAATCAAGTCCATGAGCATTTGAAGGCATATGATATTAGCAGTCTCTGGGGGGAAAAACAACGGCAGGTAAGACAACGTGATTATCACCAAAGAGCTTGGAATGCATGTCACATTTAAAAGTATGAGCAAATCTCTGATTCTGCTGAGCACTGGTTAGAGTATAGATTCTCTTCCCCACCTTAAAGCAGATAAGGAAACAATTCGTGGAAAGCTCCGGATTTGCTTACTAGACGTGGAAAGCTGGATTTATGAAGAAAGACAAAAAAGAGTTGGGAAATAAAGGGGGCAAGAGGCTGCACCATGAGGAATTTGGAGAATCGGCCAGCAGTTCCTGAGTCCACTGTTTTCTGTGGGAAGTTATGGGTCCTTCTCGCCCGGAGCCCTTCAGAAACGGTAGGCAGCCAGCTCTGTGCTTTCGTAATGCTGCACATCGGCTGACAGCCAAAGAAATGGACTTGCTTCTTTAATGAGGCTCTTTTTCACGATTATAAAACTGACACCTGCTCATTATAAGAACTGTGGAAATTCATTTCAGTATAAAGGAGAAAATTTAAATCAACCACAGCCACCACCCAGAGACAACTTAATATTGTGGTACAAAAGCAATAGTGTTATTCTGTGGAATGCCCTTTGGGTTTGTGAAGGTGAGAAAGAGTGCTGATTTTTATGTCTTTCTACTTGGTGCATTCTTAGGATTGATTTGCCTCTGAGTATATTATTACTTCAATAATGGACCACCAGTTCTAAAGCCTGCTTATTATTCCCTCCAGGAAATGTTGCTCATTTAACCAGTCTCCTATTTTGAACTATTAGCTTATGAGAATGCTATTGATAATTTCTTTTTTTAATCAAACCTAACTTCCTTCAAGTTTGTGTTCTGGAACCCTATGAATTACAGCCACTTGAGAGTTCTTCAGGGGAAGATTTCCCTCTTCTCTTCTTTAAAGGTGCTGGTCTGAGGTTGGCGATCAACATGTGGGACAGAACCTTTCTGTTGGCCTGGGATGTGACTATAAGGCCATCATTGAACATGAGATCCTCCATGCTTTGGGACTTTACCATGAGCAGTCAAGAACTGACCGAGATGACTATGTGAACATCTGGTGGGATGAAATTCTTCCAGGTGTGTAGAAACCCAAGGTACTTGGGTAGGATTTGCTGTTATCTTTATCACTTGCTGGGACCAACCCTGGGATGTCCGGGCCACATCTGTGTGTGGACAGAAGCTTCAGCTGGGAACACAGAATAGGAAATGGGTATGATTTGTTGGCCTTTGCTGTGGGCTGTGCTCATCTGATCATAACTGACCCCAGAAAAGGGCCTTAGGGAACGGAATATGTTGGCTAACTCAATGTTAACTGAAAGTTAATCAGAAACTTTTGCTTTGTTTCAGTATTTTTGTTGAAAATCTATCTAAAATGCTATCTAATTTTCCTGCCACAGTCAACTGACATCCTCTGAGGATGTCATAGTCATTTTTCTGGATGTGAGATCACATGTAGGTCTAGGAGTCTGCATGAAGTTTAGTTGAACGTACGATGACCCTAATATATACTCAAGAACCTTTTTGGTGCTTTACCAAATCAATGATAGGTGTTTAAAAACAAAACAAAACAACAACAAAAATGAATTATTTTATCTGAAATTGTCGCCCCAATTGTGTTAATTCTGGCTGATAGTCTGAGTTCTAGTTAATAAAAATTTACTGACTGGCCTTTCTTCCCACTGTCTTCCTCCTTCCTCCTTTCTAAGTACCTCTCTCCTGCCTCGAGCAAATGTATGCAGAAGGATAATACAGTCTTACTTCACTTATTGTTATGCAGGTGTGTTATTCTAACAATTTCTATGTTTCTTTAGACTTCCTTGGACATCACCTTTCCTAGTTGCTTCAGACAACTAAGTAGAGTGCTTTTGAGTATACTAAAACACTTCTTTTTGAAAGATTTTATTTATTTATTTGAGAGAGAGAGAGCAAGAGCAGGGGGAGGGGCAGAGGGAGAAGCAGGCTCCCCACTTCTGAGCAGGGAGCCCAATGCCTTGGGGCTGATCCCAGGACCCTGAGATTATGACCTGAGCTGAAGGGAGACATTTAACCAACTGAGCCACCTAGGGGCTCCCATCCCCCCCCTTTTTTAAGATTTTATTTAATTATTTGGGGGGGAGTAAAACACTTTTATTGAACAGTTAAAAAGTCAATACTATATTTCTGAAAATACCTAGTTTTTAACTAGGAATTAGTTCAGGAAGTAGAAAAACATTATTTTTGGCAGCAATAGATTAATAAAACCTTAATGTATTAAAATGCCTTGACTATTACCATACATGGCTTTCACGAAGCAAATAATTGCCTTGGAATTATCTGCTTTATTTAGATTCCAGTTTCATATATGGGTTCATATATAGAGTGCATCTCTAATAATTTTACCTTTAGGGAATTATAAGATCTTGTCATACGTTAAAATTAAATACAAATCCCCAAAAGACTTCTGCCAGAACTAGCTCATTTTGAAGTACGGTGGATCAATGGTTCTCATATGAGGTAGCGTTAGGGATGGCTAATCATATCAAAATCATCTAAGGGGTTTCTCGATCTGGGTCCCTCCCACTACCTCATATTCTGATATGTCTATGAATGTGAAGTGGTGGGGAAAGGAGGAAAACTATGTGGTTTGTAAAAACCTAATACAACCAGGATTGAACCCCCCCCCCACACACACACTTCCACCTATCCTACCACCCAACCACTGAGCTAGACGCCAAGTAATATTCTTCTTTGCCTCCCAGTCCAATCTAGAAAAGTATTAGCAAGTGTTCACCCAGACATAAAATAGCAGATCAAATTTAATGTATTTGTCTCCTGGATGTAATTGTGTTATAACTGGGTCTGTGTAGGAGGGGAAGGAGAGTGGGGTCATTGGTCAAAGGACCTAATCTCCACTTGCAAGACTCAGGGCACTATTAGACTTTGTCTGTATTTGCCTAGAGACTTGGATTTCTTACCTTCCTGTACATAAACTTGGTTCTGCTGAGCATTAAATAAGGATATAGAGAACATTCACATGTTTAAGTCTTGAAGAACACAATGATTAGTGCTTTTAAAATGATTTTCAGCCAAATGAGGTTCCCTTTCTCAGAGGGAGCCAACGCTTTTGCCCAGGTAATTTTCAGACTTGCTCAGTTCTTGGTTGAGCATGAGTTACTCAACATATGTTGCTCATCTCCTACCTATATTTTCATCAGGTATAATTCCATATATCTAAATTGCCCGCTGTCACTGGAGAACTGTTCTCAAATGAGATGTCAAATCAATAAGATGGTAAGCAAGGGCAGTATTACTACTCAGGGTAACTTATAACGTTTATTGCGTCTTGTCTTCAATTGATGACAAGCTTACCCTGCAACCTAAGAAGATACAGCACTGAAAATATAGTTCTCTCCCCAAATACATCTCCATCTCTTAAGCCAGAATGCTGTTTTCTGGATCTGTTCTCTTTAACCAAGGAAAGACCTCAATTTCTGGGGTCTAGCATGAGTCTGCAAACTACAGCCTGTGGGCCATATTCACTTGCATTTGTAAATAAAGTTTCATGGGGGGGCGCCTGGGTGGCTCAGGTCATGATCCTGGAGTCCCGGGATTGAGTCCCGCATCGGGCTCCCTGCTCGGCAGGGAGTCTGCTTCTCCCTCTGACCCTCCTCCGTCTCATGCTCTCTGTCTCTCATTCTCTCCATCTCAAATAAATAAATAAAATCTTAAAAAAAAAAAAAAGTTTCATGGGAACACGGCCATGCCCATTTATTTGCATATTTTCTATGGCTGCTTTTGTGTTACAGTGACAGAGTTGAGTGTTGTGAGAGACCACATGACTTGCAAAGCCAAAAGTATTTTCTATCTGATCCTTTACACAAAAGATTTGACCTCTGGTTTACAATATCACTTCCTTTTCAAGGCTCTCAGCTTCAAGTTCCCTGAATGCAGGACCTTGCCTGTCCTATTCTCTGCCAGGGGCCACCACCAATGGGCACAGCTCCCAGTATGTAGACAGTAGGCGCAGCAAAAATGCGTTGCATAAAATTTTTAAAAATTATTCAAAACATGTATTTGGTAAAGCCTTCTGATAAAAATCCCTGAATAATAAAGAATAAAATGATCTATTCTAATCTGATGATTTTAGTGAAAGTTAGGGAAAACCTATACAGTGAATTTGGATGTGCTGTTCTTAAGATTGCACCAGGAGTCACCAGGAGAGCCCAGGCCAAGCCCTAGTCCTCACACTGGCCGGGTATGCTTTATTGTTCTACCCTTAGGGTAGGACAACTTAGGACCAAATGCTCTGGAAGGAGTTACTTTTCCCTTCCCTGTTTGGGTCATTTATTTATACAGTCCTGTGCCACCTTTGAATATGCTTTGATCCCTTTGAAGTTCAGTCTCCATGAAATCCCGTGATTTGGGAAGATGAAGCATTGGTATTCTCATTTTACAGTTAAAACAAAGTTTTGATCAACAGGATTCTTTGGCTTTTCCAAAAGCATTTAGAGACTCCCTCCAGCACCTACTGGCCCACGTAGTGTGGCTCATCTTCAGTCCTAAATGCACCTGCGTTGATGTCTTCACAAGGTGGTTACATGTTCTTCTCTCTAATTGTTAAAAACAACTGGATGGGGGGGCGCCTGGGTGGCTCAGTTGGTTAAGCGACTGCCTTCGGCTCAGGTCATGATCCCGGAGTTCCGGGATCGAGTCCCGCATCGGGCGGGTCTGCTTCTCCCTCTGACCCTCCTCCCTCTCATGCTCTCTGTCTCTCATTCTCTCTCTCGCAAATAAATAAAATCTTTAAAAAAAAATTTTTTTTTAATTTAAATTCTATTAATTAACATATAATGTGTTATTTGTTTCAGGGGTACAAGTCTGTGATTCATCAGTCTTATGTAATACCCAGTGCTCATTATATAGCACATACCCTCCTCAATGTCTGTCACCCAGCCACCCCATTCCTCCCATCCCTCTCACCTCCAGGAACCCTCAGTTTGTTTCCTAAGATTAAGGGTCTCTTATAGTGTGTCTCCCTCTTTGGTTTTCTCTTGTTTCATTTTTTTCCTCTCTTCCGCTATTCACATTTAATGTAATCATTGATATAGTTTGATTTAGAACTATCAGTTATTGTCTTCTATTTTTTCTTTTATTTATTCTTTTCCTGCCTTCTTTTGGTTAAATCCAATAATTTAATATTTCATTTGGTTCGTGTAGTGGCTTTTAGCTCAATCTCTTTGTATTATTTTGTGAGGCTTTGCTGTAGGGATTACAGTTTGTAGCCTTAACATGTGCAGTATACTTAGACTTAATATGGTGCCCTTTTGCATAAAATGCAAGCATTTTACAACACTATAATTCCATTTATACCCCTTTATTTTGTGCTATTATTGGCTTATACTTTTCAACTATATACTTTATAAACCTCATAATATAGTGTTATCATTTTTCTTTTTGCTCTATTCAGTTTTCTTTTAAAATTAATGAAGAAAAGTAGTCTTTATATTTACTTTTATACTTGCAGTTTCTGGTGCTGTTCATTCTTCCTGGAGATCTGAGTTCCTATGTGGTGTCATTTCTCTTCAGCCTAAAGAACTTCCTTTAGCAATTTTTTTTTTTTTTTAAGTAGGCTCCATAACCAGCATGGAGCCCAGCATGGGGTTTGAACTCACAACACTGAGATCAAGACCTGAGCTAGATCAAGAGCTGGATGCTTAACTGACTGAGCCACCCAGGTGCCCCTTTTTTTAGCATTTCTTGTAGAACAAAACTGTTGGTGACAAATTCTCTTCTCTCTCCAAAGTAACTTCTTTATTGCCTTCATTTTGAAGGACATTTTTTACTGGGAATAGAATTTAACAGGTTTTTTTCCTTCTTTAAAGTTGTAATTATGGTCTTTTTCTTTTCCACATTTTATTATGAAAAATTTTAAATATATAAAAAGCTAAAAGAATTGTGCAGTGAACACTCGTATACTCATTACCTACATTATACAAACAGCATTCTGCTACTTTTGCTTTATCTTATCGATCCAACCTGCCCATCTTTCTATCCTTCTATCAATACATTCTATTTCTGATACATTTCAAAGTAAATTT